AGGCATTACACAGTGCTGTTGTGTGTTGTGTGTTGTCTTCACATTAAAAACCATCCCGGTTTCTCTATCCAGTACCTCCTTCTGTCTCAATCTCTCCGTACTAATCCAGCACTTGACTCGGTCAATTTCCGTGGTCACAGGCTAAACGTACCTAGAAAAGGTATCCCAAAATAAAATGGACCCCAAGGGTTAGAGCGATAAAATACAAGAAAACAAAAGAATCAGAAACAAATAGTGGTATCCATCATCATTCGCTAGAGGGGGGGTGGTGTCCATCATCAGCTAGCGAGGGGGGTGGTATCCATCGTCAGCCGTGAGGGGGGGGTGCTATCCATCATCACCAGCTAGAGAGGGGGGTGGTATCCATCATCATTCGCTAGAGGGGGGGTTGGTATCCATCATCAGCTAGCCAGGGGGATGGTATCCATCGTCAGCTATCTAGGGGGGAAGCTATCATCAGCGGGGGGGGTGCTATCCATCGTCATCAGCTAGAGAGGAAAAAAAAACTTTGGAAAACTCCCCGGCTGGTGCTGCTGCTGCTGCTGATTGTTTGAACAGGACGCTTCCTCCGCCACCGCTTTAGATAACAGCAACAGCAGCAGCAGCAGAGGCGACACACCCTCTCGCCCACAATGAGTGTAGAGAGGTGCACAGCACAGCAGTGGTACGACATCGTCTAGGANCAGCAGCAGTGGTATAGGGCAAGCCCTGCTCCCGTCCCGCTCTCGCTGTGTGGTGTGTGCAACACACGCTGGTTGGTGGGACTCCCTCTCTTTCCAGAGAAACGGCGAATAGGCCGGCAGCGTTGAACAACAACAAACAACGGAGACAATAACAACAGCATCATCAGCGATGAATGAACCCCAGACCAACCAAACGTTCCCCGCTTCCTCCGCCGTCGCCAACAGCAGTGTGTGTGTGTGTCCCGCCCCCCTTGTCCATGTTCCCTGTCTCTGTGTAGTGCGTGTCTTGCCAGTAGCAGCAGCAGTGTGTGCAGCACGGCAGTGCGTCGTGGTTTCTTGCGTGCGTGTAGTTNTTGCAAAGGTAGCGGTTGGGACAGCTCGGGCAAAATGTTACTTGTTGTGCGCAAGTTTTAGTTTGCAATTTGGTGCCGAGATGGTGGAATGGGCTCGAGTCTGCTGATTATTTAGGGCGCGCAGACACCAGACAGACAGACAGCCATGGCTAAATTTTCACGCCCCT